ACATTTAATTGTATAAACACATATTTCGCCATAGAAATACATTGATATCTCTAGTTACTTCAAAATAGTGTTTTATCCTTCTTTTATTTTATTATTTTTTTCTTTTTGCAGCTTTTAGCCAGCATTTTGCTTCTTGTACTACAAATATTTGTTAGGGTTCAAGTTTGTTTTGTGACTTTTAGCTTCTAGCTTGCATTCTGATACTTTGCAACCATTTTGTTACATGTAGCTTTAGCTAGCTGCTTGTTACTTTCATTTTGTTGCTTTAGCTTAAATCTAGCCATTTAGCAGTTGGCTAGCTTTTAGCTAATGTTCTGCTTCTTTTTAGCAAAATTTCAGCAGTCTGTCAGCAATAAACCTTAACAGTGAATTTTCACAAAAATGTGTCTGGTTATTATAAGTGTTTTATGACCTATTTTTATATCAAAGTAAGTAATAATGTAAACTGATGGAGATAGCTTTAACCCAGCAGTGTATAAAAATAAAAGTCATGAGCTTTAATAACAGGTAGCTAACTTTAATTCTGCTTACTATTTTATTTCAATGGTCATTTTACTGACTTTAATGCACTACATATTTTAAATTAGTTGTGCATTTCCAATGATTTATTAGTTCATATATTAGCCTGCGTTTGAGACAGAGTCTGTCAGCCAAAGACTTGAGTTGTAGTCTATGTCTTTCTTCAAAGTGAGCTATTATCACAGCTTTGGTGAAAGTCKCATAGTTTTGCAAATTTAGTTACATTTAAAAGACTAATTTATGGACAGGGTGTGAAAATTACTCATTGCAAAGAATATCTATGTTATAGAAGACAGCATGACTGTTTGTGTATTTCTAAAGTGCTATTTTTGTGTAAATAAACCTGAACTAAACTGATGCCGCGAACTCTATTAATAATATTGTCAACTTAAATATTATAATTATATGCACTTAATTATATGYAAACCTAAAATAAAGTGAAACTGTGGAATGCAGAGCTGGAAGTTGCACAAAAATGTGCTGCTGACTGTCTCTGTTGAACCGTTATGTGGGGTTTGAAGATGTGGTGCTGAAAGAACAGCTCCCTGCAGCTGGTAGCACTGGGACCAGTCCAAAACACACACACSATGTCCCCGTGACACTGTAGCAAATTAATAAAATACCTTATGTATTTAAGTRAGTTTTTCATCGTCATCTGATTTCCTTACAGCTAAATATAATGCTGTCAACCTTCCTCTGTAGGCTTTTGCCTATGTTTGTGCTTTTTATGTAAGTTTTTTAAAGCAATCTTATTGCACTTTACTTTTTTATTATTTGCCATACGACATCAAAGAAGTGTTTACGTTTTTCCCTTGTTTTCACAATCTCATTAACACCACAATGGATAACATAAACTTGATGAAAACAACATTTCACGATTCAACAGAGGAAAACACTGCGCTGCAGCGGCACATCCCGACCAGTGGGGGGCGACAGAGTGCGCACACGAGCATTTTTGCGGCGGTAAACGGCACGAAGAAGAAATGACCGGGTGAAATCATGGCGTGTGCCTTGGACGATGATGAGATCTGCAATGATGATTACTATTCGCTTCTAAATGTCCGAAGAGAGGTATAATATAGCGTTTAAATCTATGTCTATGAGGATAGGTGTGTATTTGCTCCATGTTCGTTCTCCGCTCGATGTTAGCAGCTGGTCGGATAATTGGGTGGAACTAACTGTGACCCTCGACATTGAATGTGAAGTGACACTASTTTAAAAAGAAATCGGATGAGCTTCAAATTGTGGCAATACAGTTTTGCCATTGCGAGTGGTCGTTTGTGATCAAGATATAAAAAGTCTACCGTAACTGTGGTTGTTTGTTGTGAAATTAAGAAGTTTGCGCTCATTATGGGATATGCTAACTAGCTAGTGCTAAAGCTGTAGGTGCAAACCTGTAGCCTTGAATTAATGAGCTTACACTGTAAATATGTGGGKKTTTTTTWACCACTGGTTTCGACTGGTTTTCTTTCTTTATATTCTCTTTGTCAAAGCAACGATCATTAGGTTAGAAAACAAATGCTTTTTACAAAACTTGCTGAGGTTGTGGCTCATGGTTGCATCATGGTGATGCTATACTACATGTGCTAAACATGCATGGTAAACAAACATGACAGACGTTTATTTATATAGCAGATCACAACCATATAGTCATATATATCACTTCCATATAGTAAGATGAGTTCTTAGAAGTGTGTAGTTTTTTTTCCCCACTCAGGGTTGAATAGATAARTGTTTAAAACCTATATTGAAAAAAAATATTTAGCAGATGAATATTGACAGTTCTCAGTTTTATTTTTTGCAGAAATGTCCTTAAGGTTTTTATGGAGACTATTTTTTAATGTGTTTGGAGTGCACGAAGTGTAAAATGTCTGYCAAATAAAAATCAATTAAAGGTTAGTACTTTTTATTTGTAAAATAGTCTGAAACTKAGGTGGGTAATGTTTCTTCCCTAAAATGCTATATATAATACTTATAAGACGGATATAGAAAATGCAAACTCAGTTCTGCTAAAATRTAATAAAAAAAATCACAGTAAACATTTTGTTATTTATTGAATATGTTGAATATTATTTGTTAAGAGTAGACATTACAAATGGACAATAAAAAGCTGAACAAATTACCCTGAGGATTAGAATTTATTTGTTTATTGTAAATAATGAACATTTTTAAAACATTTAAAGAACAAAAAATGTTCATGCTTTCCATTATTTCAATCACAGCATCAAATTAACAACTATCTGTTTTCTCAGATGTTTGAAGCTGGAGTTGAGCTCGAACAAGTGTGCTGATGTGACATTTTGTATCTCAGGTAGTTGTGAAGGGCAGTTCAGTGAAGAAAGGACGATTTGCTGCCTTCTCTTTTGTGCACAATTCTCCACTCTTCTTTTYTCAAGGCACACATAATCAGAGTCCTCCAAACACTCGCAAACTCTCCATCAGACAACTTTGTGTTTTGTTTGGTATCACAAAACTACTCTTGACTGACTGCTGCATTCCTGGATGTATATCTTGCCTYGAAGGCCTTGATGCTTTTTAACGTTGGGCCGGCAAAGCTTCTGATGTTTGCGCTTTTTTGTTTGTTCTCTTTTTGTTGCTGCTGAATTCAGCAAACAAACACTTAGCATTTAAAAAACTCATTTTTTTTTAGCTGCTGAAATCAAGGTCATAGAGCTTGCCTTCAAAATAAAAGCACTGCTGAAGACAGTTTTGAAATAAAATCCGTTTTGGTCTTGCATGCAGAATGATTTAAATTTTGGTTTTCRATATGTGGTTGACCTTCTGCAAGCCGGATGGTGACAGCTAACGGGTCAGACTTGGGCTGTAAGACACTCGTGTGTGGTCTAAAATTAAAGTGAGGGAGGAGGAATCTAATAATGTCTAATCATGATGTTATTAAAGGTAGGTGCAKTGTTGGTTATTTGAGCAGGGATACGATTATTTTTTTCTTTGCTCCGTTTTGCAGCTTGAATAAAATAAAATGCGTTGATGAAAATACAATTATTTTTTTAAATGTGGTCAAAATATTACAAACAGTACATGTTAATGATTGTGTTCAAACTTCATTTAATAAACAGTTAAAATGAATGTTTGAAGGATGGTTTCAAAATAGCCTGAAAATGAACTTACACTGTAAGAAGTTTCAAGTCAGTTAAACTTGCAAATGAAAGTCCACCTGCTGCCTTAAAAATGCRTGTTAACTCAACTGGAGGAATATCGTTGTTTCAACTCAGAAGTTAAAGTTTAAAAAGTTGATTGCGCTACATTGTTTTTGTTGYGTCGACATAGGTTTTTAAGTTGTCAAAGTTGATTTAACTGTTAATCACTAGTTGTTTTAACTTAAGACTGTGAGTTGAAACAATTAAAAATTAATCATCAACATGATCAACTTTCCTTAGCTAGTTGAACAAACACACATTTGTGTGTTAATGTAACTCACTATTTTGAGTTAAAATGATGTGACTGCATTTTACCTTACGACAATTGAAATTCCAAATTAGTTTCAACTTACATGATAGTTGGTATTAAAAAGGTTAACAGACACCACAAGGTGTCAATTGACCATATATTTGAGAATGTAAATTTAACACTCAGAGTTAATATCAAACTCTTTGTAGTGTTGCATTAAAGGCACAGTGTGTAGGATTTTGTCAATTCTTTTAGCCGAAATTCAGATAATCACTAATGACAATAATAAAAAACAAACATGTCTAATCATTGAAGACAAAGACCTTGTTTTATTATTTTTACCTTATAAAAAGCTGTTTATATCTCCATGGTCACAAGTCGCCACTACAGGCAGCCGCCATCTTGCACCGCCATCTTGTCTATGAAGGCTCATGAAGGACAAACTGCGGTGGCGGCGTCAAAAATGGTTTTAGTTGTAATACTATAAATGTAATATTTGTTGTCTGTCATTGTAGCTGGDATAATTTTACTTATTAAAGCTCATAATCTTACCACTTGAAACATCASTAGCCCTGAAGCTGCTGGTAGACATCGCGGTTGGAATTATCAAAGGTTTTTGACACCTGAGAGACACCGTAGCAACTCCTTTGTGTTTGGAAGCGGGGTGGGGGTGGGGGGAGGACCAGGGAGGATGATTCAGCCACTCAACCACTAGATGTTGCTGAAAACAACAAATCCTACACACTGTTCCTTTAACACCACTCAGTAATTATTAGGAAAGTATAATGGAGCCACCCTTCACACACCAGCACCTCTCACTCATGGTGTCGATTTTTGGCCAATAACATAAACTTAAAGTTGAACAACTTGATAAAACTGAACAAGAAATCKAACCAGAACAACTAATTTTTACTCTCATGAACGTCTTTAATGGTCATAAACATACAAACACATCATTTCTGTAGGATTTCTCAGCAAGGAATGCTGGGTAAATACTGGTCTGTCTGACTTTCAAACCCAAGTTCAATCAAATCATACAAATTCCCAAATAGTCAACACAATGAATAACTTTAAGTTTTGCTTTCCTGCCTTTTTCCCTCTCCTTTTTTTCAACTGGTGACTTACAAACTCAAGTTCAGTCAACGCTTGCAAATCTGACAAATTTCTCAAATAGTTAACACAAGGGATATCTATAAGTTTTATATTTTTAGACTCAAAAAATTGAGTTAAAAATCCAAAACTTGTCAGAGCTCTTTGTGTCAAAGAGAAGTAGTAAGTGGGGAAAACTAAACGAGGGTGAAACTTTTAAAAGTGTAGAAGTGTGAAATTTTTGAAGCTGGAAAAACCTTTCATGTGGAAGTGGGAAAAAAGTGTTGGAGCTCTACGTGAGATAAAGCATAAACAGATGCTTCATCTCTCTGTTAATTATCTTTAAAACAAAACACGATGAGTAAACACGAGATTCAATACAGTGCRACTTTGATGGCCGGGGAAGCAGATTTGGCGCTCCAGTTTGTTTCACAGTAATGTTGCTTTTATGTGAATTTAAGAACAAAAACTTGTAATTTTTTTTAACAAATATCCTCACATATTGTGTGGTTTGATTCAGGCCACCCAGGAGGAACTGAAAGCAGCGTACAGACGACTGTGCATGCTGTATCATCCAGACAAACACCGGGATCCTGAACTAAAGCAGCAGGCGGAGCAGCTTTTTTACCTTGTCCACGAAGCTTATGAAGGTTAGACGAGCTTTGATTCCATCAGTTTGTTTACGTTTGTGCGCAATTTCATACCCAAAGTTTGCTTCTGTGTATTGTCATTGATGTTTATCCATATTTTTCTAGTCCTCAGTGACCCACAGGCACGAGCTATCTATGATGTCTATGGCAAGCGAGGGCTGGATGTTAAAGGATGGGAGGTAAGTTTCTCCGCCATGGTAGGAAGTTTGAGAGATGCCAATTTGCCATATGTGAGGTAAAAAAAAGGCATTTAAATATTTGCTCACACATGAAAATAAAGGTGTCTGCAGATCAAGCTGGGGTGTTTCATTTTTACTTTTCTTATCTTTTATTAATGGTAGTTTGTAGATTAACTTGATTCATGTAGGTACTGATGTTTTTGAAATAAACTTTAAATATATCTGCAACATGTTTTTGCACCATGTTGGCATGAAATAAGTTGTTTGGTTTGTGCTCAYTTTGTATTCACGTCCCGTCTCGCTCCTGCAGGTGGTGGAGAGGCGAAGGAGCCCTGCGGAAATTCGGGAGGAGTACGAACGGCTTCAGAGGGAGAGGGAGGAGGAAAGGCTTCAGCAAAGGACCAACCCAAAGGTTAACACGGGGGAAAAAAAGTATCATTACGTGTTTTTGTTTCTGTTTTTGTTAGTGAACTCAGAGTAAATCTTGAATCCCTTTACAGGGAATGATAAGTGTTGGCATTGATGCCACGGACCTGTTCGACCGGTATGAGGAGGACAATGACTATGAGGATGGAGACATCCCGCACATAGAAATCAACAGGATGCACATATCCCAGTCCATTGAGGTCTGCAGTCCACAAATTTCACAGCTTTTAGGAAAGATGTTTGGTTGAGTTTTCCTCCAAACACTTATAGTCTTGTGTGCACTGCTGCAGGCTCCTCTCACTAGGAAAGTCACTGCCATTTTGTCCGGCTTCTTATCAACCCGYAATGGAAATGGAAGCGGCACCATTAACTTGGCGCTGAGAAGAGTTACCTCAGCAAGGGGGTGGAGTGAGGTACGCTGCATTTTCGCTCCTTTTTTTTAATGTTCGTCCCAAAATAACAGTAGATACCGTATTTCAGGATGTGACGTGTTAATTGGTTGTGTTATTACAGATAGATTTAGAAGCCGGAGACACTGATGGACCTCTCTTTGGTATGAAGACATTTCACAGCTTAACACCTCGATGGTAAATAATAAAAATAAGCACAGTAAATCAATATTCTAAACTTTGATGGCAAATCCATAATGAAAACTTTTCCCTTTTTTAAAATGTAATTTCAGCTTTGTAATGGGTCAGTGTGAGATGCAGTTTTCATCGCGAGGCGCACGTCCGAGTATGACAACAGTGCTGGCTCGCCACTTAGACAAGAACACTATGGGTTAYCTGCAGTGGCGCTGGGGAGGCCAGTCCTCTATGAACACCAGCATAGTGAGGGATACTAAGAGCAGCCACTTYGCCTTTGCAGTRCAGGTAAGTAGCCAGCAGTTTTATATAAATTTATTTAACTCTAAAAACAAACAGCTTATTGTCACTTTTGTCAGAAATGTTCATTTAGTTTTCTTTGTTTCTGCAGCTCGGCATTCCTCACACATTTATGATGATGAGCTACCAGTACAAGTTTCAGGATGAAGATCAGACCAAGATAAAGGCCTCTATAAAGTATGCTGTCAAAGGGCAATGTTTGTGATGTAATGTAGTCAAAAAATTATATTCAAAGTGCTAAACAGGACATTCATACCCTCCTGATTAGGACACAGCAGATGGAAACCAAAGTCACCCCACATTAAATGTTCCCCATGTWGTTTATTTACAAAGAAGAGTTTTAGGTCAACCCTTTTTGACAACATTAACAACTTCATAGTCCTCATTCACACAGAATGAACATGCTTTGCTTTCACGTGTGACCATGACCTTTTAAAAGCCTCCTTTAATGTGAACGCTTTTATGACACAGCTACMTTTTCAGTGCCGCCCAAATAGATTTTAACTTCTTATTTCTGAATTACTGACACTATCKTGCTCTGTCATCACACTCTATGTTGGTGACGATTCTACCACCGATGGCAGCTCCAGTCCTTCACATCACCACCACTTCACACCAACTTTCACAAGCTGGAAGATAGTGCCATGAACACAGCCACCATGTTCCAACCACGGCTTGATGCACTGTAACCACGCTCCAACCAAGACCTTAATAATCTGCCACCATGTTTCACCCACGACCATGAYACACTTCTATCATCCTCCAAGCACGACCTTAATACGCTGCCACTAACCTCCAACCAAGACCTTAAAGTGTATCTTACCCCCCTGTGAAAAGATAACTCCGCCCCAAGGCGAAATTTGAAAAATGCATCAAAGTGGGTAGGGAAGGGGGTGTGGGTGGAGAAGGGGGGGTTAGAGAGCGGAGGTGTGGCCAGGACGAGAGAACGTGACAGGCAGCTAGCATTAGCATAATTGATGCTACATGGAGAGTGACCACAGAGACGTCGATAGTTACATCTCTGAACGTTTGAGGTGGAGGATTTTCACCCCACACCAGCCTCGAACAGAGGAGGTGGAGCGCTCCTACAGCC